AAATCGAAAATATATTCAGCTATCTCGATTCTCTTTCTCCTATATCAAATTACTCCACGATCGATCCACGCAACAATAATTCAGACGAGGCGAACGTTTTTAATTTGTCAAATCCACTTATTTCCCTTCACCGTGCCGTCGTCATCCGAATCGTAAAAAAAGCGCCTTTCAATTCGTGAAATCGAAGGGGAAGGGGGCCCGTGAAATCCTCTTTATACCCGACGTCTGTTAAGCCGTCGATACGTAAAACCCGATAATTCCATCGATCAATGGTATAACAAGATTCACTAAGGACGATTTAGTTGAACCCGAGTTCCTACGGAATCCTACTGCCCCAGAGGCAATACGTGCGCGCAGCCCTATCGTCCAACACTGGCCGGGTGTGTTCTATAGAACCTGCTCGAAATTAATTCCGCGTGAGTCATTAGCATGCACAGGTTACGCCGATATGCGCATGCGCGTGTATTATAAAGCGAAAAAAAAATATGCAATTAAAGTTACTTCTCCCTGGTAAGCGAGAAACAGGCACGTTATAGTTTTGTGCAGACGCAAATGCGAACCTTTAGCCGGAAGTTAGGGCTAGTTTCGGGAGTAAAAAGAGTGCTGGTGTGTGTGTGCGCGCGCTTGCGAAGGAACAGAGCTCAGGCAAAACGGAAAACTGAAAGACTAAGAACAATCCCATCGAGCATTAACGGAACCAGAAAGAAGAAAAGAATAGAACGAGGCGAAGAAAGAAAAAAATGGCCAGGGTAAACGGCGATGCGCTGTATTTCGTACTTACTGTTCACGTTCCTCCAGCTCGACCACCCGATTACTGTCTGTGTTTTGTTTAGCAAGTCCAAATTAAAAAGTAAGAGCAGAAACGAATCAGTTTTTCTGTGTTAGTGGGAGACTACCGAGAAAAAAAAACTTAACCCGTGGCCAGGCTGCTGTGCCCGCGGAGGAATAGGGCGTTCGGCACCCAACCCTTTCCCCCGAGTCTTACGTTTAATTGGGGGGACGTTCTTTCGAGTTTGAAGTTTACGACGGCGCGAATTTAATTAACGCCCCGACTAACTTCCCGGTGGATCGCGTTAAACTCCGTTGGGCGGAGGGTTTCATGAGCTGTGTTGCTCGAAGAACTACCCCTCTCACCCCTTTTTTCTGCATGCAGAGAGGAGGCAGACTTCCTAGACATTTTCATTCGACTAATTATAGATTTCTTTCGTCGCCGTGGATCTCACTTACGAGCGCGTTTGTTCGAGTCGACAGGTTTGTAATTCATAGAGTGTGGATTTTATGCGTTTATCGCGTGTACATGATTCTCGAAAACACGGTACAGTTAAATTTTTCATGAAGTTCAACGTGATTTTGTCTTTCTGTTAACCCTCGTAGAAATTTTAATGAATAAAAGAAACTTTGATTTACTTCGAACTTAATCGTCTGTTGTCACGCTGGATTGAAATGGCTGAAAATTTGACTTCGATGTAAAATGTCTTTGAGGCATCAATGAAAATGGTACTACTGGCGCCATGTAGTAATTTTAGATATTCTAACAGAACTTTTTTCGAAGTTCTTTTTCAACAATTTTTTTAAATATAGTCATATTTTAAATGTTAATTTTTTACAATGAAAATATATTCTACGATGTTCAAACTCTATGTCAAAATTTGACTTCGAAGTAAAATGTCTTTGAGGCATCAATGAAAATGGTACTACTGGCGCCATGTAGTAATTTCAGATATCCTAACCGAACTTTTTTCGAAATTCTTTTTCAACACTTTTTTTAAATATAGTCATATTTTAAATGTTAATTTTTCACAACGAAAATATATTCTACGATGTTCAAACCTTATCTCAATTTTTGCGACTTAATTTAACAGTTTGTAAACAGATTGGATTGAATTGAACTAGTGTGACAACTACGGTCGAAAAAATAGGTGTGATAACCGAGGGTTAATAAATCTATATTTGCATATACATTCGCAGGTTAGTAATTCATTTTTGGTATTGATAACATTCTAATTGCTGGCAAAAAAAGGAAAGACACTTCTTGTGCTCAGCTCTAATTAGGGACAATTAGACTGCAGACGATTGGACGCTTTCATTGATTATTTTATAAAGATCTGACTCAAAGGAACATTATTACATCAATTAGCAGCAAAAATTGCTTAGAAACAAGTACTTATTTATTTTTTTTAATCGAGGATCAACAGATTTAACAATTCTGTTCAATAAATATGGATTCAATAAAACAGTTGTATGCAATGCAAATAATTAAAATGAACAATAATTGAATGAAATTCATTGTAATGTATTCTGATATTAACGAGCAGTGATAAAGGATTTGAATTAAAAGTAGTTATTATACATTCTACTTATAATTATTTAAAATCGAGCGAAACGTTCATTAAGTAAAATTGTCACTGTAACAATGTTAACACTGTTAAATGGTAATGGTAGTTAATTAAAATTCAGTAAACGTCCGGCGAATCTAAAATCGAATTAAAATTTAGCTGATTTATTATACGACCGGTTTACTCGTGCGTTATGAGACAATTAACCTTTTATGAAATAACAGATTTTTCTACTTGTCATTGTAACAGAAATATACAAATACGTTTTTTTTAACGTGTAACGTTGTTGAATATTATCGTTACATAAAATGTCCAGAAAGTTGTCGATGAAATTTTCGTGTTTCCTCGCCGACACAGCAGCACACCACAGGTTCATATACATAATAATTTGTATATACGTACAAATGTCTGTATATGTCATTTGTATATATGTAGTTGTTTTCGCATTCAAATTGGAAATTCGCATTGTCCATCTACTTTACACGATTACGTAACATAATAGACATGCTTTCCTTGGAGCTAGCATGAACTATGCGGTAATAACAACGTAAAATAATGTATGCGGGTGCATGATTTATGCATGCCTGGCTGCAGTCATCCAATTACGCTTCAAAGATTCCGCGACATCACCATTTTTACGCCTAATCACGTCAAACTAGTGTGGTAAACTCTTCTAATTACAAGTTATTTACAAGTAATTTCGATTACTATATCACTCAAAACATATAATAATTTTTTCTAATTAATACTAACTTGTCAAATAAATCTAATTTGTAAATTAGTGAAAGTTCTACAAGAAATCGTCTTGCGAGCATGATACAGTATTGACCGAAAAATATTTCATGTAATTTTAGTCACATGTGAATGGTATATTTCTTGTCGACGGTTACTTAATATTGGAAAATACGATATATTTGAAAAATACCGTGGTAAGTTTCCTTTTTCGTCGTTCTGAACGAAAACATGTTTCCGATTGAAATAACAAAACTCGATGTCTGCAGCCAGCCCGAATGACATTAAATGTATCTTTATAAATGGTCGATGCCTCGATACCTTACAGGCTCTTTATCCTTTTACTGAACTAAGAAACTTTTCTCAATAAATTCCTTCGTATCTACGTGATGACACTACTTAAAGAAATTTAATATATTATAGAAGCTCAGTTATTGGCTTCGAGTTTAGCGTTACTTTCAATCATCGGCAAGCTTACGTTATTTACTTTACTGTAATCAAGCAACATGCAACGTATGAAAATTACGATCAGTTAATTTTCTTTTGAAACGTTACTATTAACAACCTGCCGAGGCAGCTCGAACAAAAAAAGAAAAAGAATGAACATTGATCAGGAACTTTACGACCCGGGATCGTGATTCCCGACATCGTGTAGACTAGTGTAATGGTACGCTGTGATTTTACGAATGTGTGTAGATCGTTATGTATCGGTGTGCTTTTTTCGTGAGTGGACAATGTCGAGAATAGTGCGAGTAAAGTGGATGGATATCGATGAAACGTGATGTCGTGTCACAAAGGGCGTGCGTATGACCTATTGTGGAGATGTTTCGCGTTCCATTGCAGGAACTGTTATTACGTTATTCACTTTTTCAATCTCGATAATAAACGAGTTCTACCCAGTGATCTATTCCATATTGCTTTCATAATATGGTGCTACGACAAATATGCATTACACGTTCGAAATTACTTCATTGCGAATAGTTAACGACACTATTCCATATTTCGATTATTAAATTAATATATTTATTATACTGCAATATTACGAAAGTTTTAATTTGCTTCTGTAGGTGAATGTTGATTAAAATTAACCAACTGTTAAAATATTTTGTAAAATTGATTCTGTAAGGTTTTTCGTTTCAAACATTAATGTCTAATTACTAGAAGTAATTTTGTTGTTTAAATTATACAGGGTTCAAAGGGCAGGCGAAATATAATATTGTAAGCCGTTTAACGTACTTTGTGTATATGTATAAGGTGGCCTATTACCGATAGCATATTTTGAATTTATTTGATTATATAGAATCATGTTTCTAGGTTGTACAACCAATTACTACAACATTTAATTTAGTGATATTTCATTGCGTACGGAAATCTGTTTTAAAATTAAGACCTTACTCCGTGAAACGACCTTATGATTATAGAAAACGTACTTTGGAATTTTTCTATAATTTCAACCTCTAGATTTTTTAAGTAATGCATTTTTATCGTGCTACGATATTATTAAAGTAAGTGCTATTGAATTTGTGTTTAATGTTTATGAAACATTTATTTGCAACAATGATTGCATAATTTGAATTTGGACTTCTTCTAGATTATCTTAGTTAGCAATACATTTCGAATTAATATGCACGTCTTTAAAATGAAATATTGGAAATTTGAGCAATTTCTTCTGTTTACGAAATATAATTTTCAATCTAATAATAGAATCCATAAGATGTAATCATGATAATTAGTCGAAATTCTATGTATCTTCTTGTTACTTTTCCAAAATAATTTCGATAATATATATCATTATCAATGTTATACTTTGTAGATATTGCAACATTAACAGAATCTTGAAGAAAGTCCATTTGAATAGGCTACGTCATGCGAATCGTTCTGAATAACAAATCACATAGACAGTTACGAAATAGGAAGTAGAATGTGACTTACATTTCATCTGACAGCGCTTGCGGCGGCAAACGATGAAGATTACAACGCAGATGATTATTATCACAAGGATGAGAACAACGGCCGACACGATGACAATTAGAAGGAGGTTTCCTTCCAGTTGATGCCACCAAGGTATATGACCTGAAAAACGTATTAATTTGATACTACTAACGGGAATTTTAAAATGACTTAAGGTCATATTAAGTTATATTAAATTATGTATCATACATGATAAAAAAAATTTACAACGTTAGAAATTATTTGTTTTTCCTGTTTATTCAGGTCTGTCAATCTCCTGCATATTTTTTTTCGCTATTTTCAATGCATAACGTGTACCCTTAGCAACAGTTCATTAAAAGGATTTTTTTTATACACAGTAATGTAAATGACATTCAAATTACATGTAAAATATGTATTTCTGCAGCATTAGAATAAAAAGAAATAACCAAGTGGCGTATATTCAGGGTGAATGGTATCTTATATTATTATATATTGTCTTAAAAAATATAATAAAAAAGATGCCATTTCAGATAAGAAATTATTGTAATTGTAATTACACTTGTAAAATACTATGATTGTGATTCATGTAAAAATTCGAGATATTTTTAAATACACGGACCTTATATGACAATGCTGACTAAATTAAAAATTCATGGTATTCTGACATTCATTTTATTTAAATGTCACCTTTATTAGTTTCCATTGTGTTTTTGAAAGTTAGATTGGACACCAGAATCAGCAAAAAGTGTAATATTTGTATTGCTAAATATTTTGGAAATGTTTTTGTAAGAGTTTCTCGTAAATTTCTACACAAGATGGGAAAATCTTGAAACTGACCGTAAAAATTGCACAATAATCCAGCATAGTTGAAAACAGAATAACATTGTAGAATAGTTGCAATTCAAATGTTGGTAACAGCTGGGAAGTAGTGTAAGTACGACGGTAAAATGGTCGATTTCCAGAGTGAATTTTCATACTGCTACTTAAATTTAATTTGTATTCTCATCGTATAATATTTTGCTCCTAGTCTGTTATCCTGTAGTTTAATTATAGAGTGCTTCATTGTACTTCATTCAGTAAGCTCTTTTTCAATCTTGTCATCAATTGTTAAGAAGACTACTGTGTACGTTTTCATGTAAATCCTGATGACTACGTTATTCATCAATTTTCTATATTTATTGATAAATGTATGGTAAATGTAAGAAACATGCATATTAAATAAATTTCCCAGAAAAAGATTGCGATTCTTTCAAAAGTACTGTACCAGTGACTTGACATGTAAAACTACTTTTCATTTGGTAGTAAGAAATAAATATTTAATTCTCTAAAATTTATTTTCTGTATTTAATGTAATAATCGAGAAAAAAACTTACTTCGATGTCCGTGGTGAGCTAAGAAGAAACGGTGATTTTAGAATGTTTGTGGTTTGTTTATGATATTTATTAAAAATAGTATTTCGATATCACGTACTAGTATACTAGCTATGCGCATTTTTATACTATTCGTACGATGAAGATTACTGTATACATATGTATATTATATTTTTAGTTCTTCCGAATTTTCCTTTCTACGATCCTTCGTGACATTTTCTCAATATAACTGAATTGTACGAGATAAACCGAGGCTATTTCTATGAAAATTTTAATGTCTACTCGAGAAAATGTTTATAGCAGATTTATTTAATCGCTCGGATATTCATATTCCCCGAAGGAGAGTTGCATTTTCTCAGGAAGAAATGATAACAAGAAGTCAGCAAGTAAACGTCTCACTGGAGGGATTCCGAATTATTTTCACCGTGTAGCTTAGGGGCGCGCTTTTATTCGTATAAACAGCGAGATGTAAATAAATATTACTTTGTTAAAACTACATTAAATTAGTTTCAGTATAAATATAAAATTCTCAAACTTTAAAAGAAAGTAATTATTTACATCGAAAGGAGAAAATGTTGAAGATTGCAAAAAATTAAAGTTTCCATTATGTCTGACTAAAAAAATGGCCATAGAACGACGTTGTCGTAATTAACAAAGATGTGGTTTCAAACCGTGGTCGACAGTTCATTTTGTTCGATTACAATCCCATTTGAATTTAATTTTCTTCTAGGGTAAAAGGTTCATTATTCTCGGATCCTTCATTCTTTTCGTCATTTTGAATACATTACGATTATTAATATTGGAATCCCGATGGTTATTATGGAAGCTATTGTGGAAACTACTGTTTAATTGTTTACGTTTCGTAATTCCCAATTAAAGAACTTCAAATTAAACCTATTCTTTCATAGAAATTTAAGAAATCAATGTAATCTCTAAGGTTGAATAAACCTGAATTACTGAGATTAATATCATATTTGCGAAATCTTTTTAACCCTGCATTGACGGACTGTATTTTTTGCAGACAGTTTTTATTCTAATAACATATCTCAAATTTTTCTATTTTGTTAAATTTTGCTTCTGTGCGTGTTCTGTTGTTTGTGTATGTGCCATATAACCCTGGGAGTATCTTAAAGCACAATGGAAAAATTTAGACAGAGAATATTTAAGAAATTAATAAATAGAATGCCCGAAATCTGATTGAGAATTATTGAAAATAAAGGTGGTAATTTTGATGAGGTAAAAACATGGTAAGAATCAATTTTTTTGGTTACTTTTAAATTGCTTTGTCACATATGTACAATATTTCTTTACATATATGTATATAAGACTACGCACATTTAAGATTTTATTTAACTGTTTCCAAACGTTTGAACAATAGTGTATATTTAAAGTAGTAAAAATTATACGCTATGTACAAAAAGCATAAAATGCAATAAATATGTATATCTTCTTTCTCTTTAAACTATTATGCACTCGAATCGTCTCATAAAAATGATCAACTAACAGTTTGTTTGAGAATCCATACAACGAAAACTACTCAAACTACTCATTTGTGCAATATCAAAAGTTAATAATGATTTGATGTCAAGCTACAATAATTCAAAACGTTAGTTGTTAGTAATTATTCTACTTCTTACTAGGTTAAAAATCCTGATGTTGTTACAAAAATTATCTTCCCACCTCGTTTATAAATCATAGTATGATTAAAAATTTGAAATATTCTGTAAACATCAAAGCGTTCATCCATTTACCCCTCGCCTAATCATTGGAGGAATATTTAGAGAGTCTTCGATTAAAATTCGCAGTTCTTTTGTTCATAACATGCAAATGTTATGTAAATGTGAAGTAGAACAAGGATCGAGGTGATGAGAAAGTTATACTTTTATTACGGTTTATGTAGATACGTTGGAACATGAATTTTAAATAAGTTCGGTAACAAACACAAAGCTTTGAGGAAGCACCCCCTCCACCCCTATATCTAAATGAGTATTTTTCGTGATGAAAACTCATTTACATGTTCCGTAATTCGAAGCGACTCTGACCAGCGGAATCAACTTTAAATTTAATCACGGTCCCACGTATCGTTCTAATTGAATGCTTCGAGATAGCTTGCAGACCAATTTTATTTTACAATACGCTGGACGCTACCAGAGCTCTATAGTATCTACGTTTGCTCTGTGAACGCCTTACTACATTGCTGCAAGTGTATCGCCATGTAGACAGGATAACAGAGAAAGTTCTGGACATTTTTAAACACATCTTGAAGTTTGCTTTTTAAGCTTTTTCGCTCTCTTAATCTCACGGCTTTAGATCCTCTCGGACGCGTGCACGCGAATTATTAGCCAGACAGTAGGTTTAATACGAGCATTACGACGGGAATGTAATATCAAGGGACGAAAAATGACCACGACAAAGAAATGCATTCTGTGTGGAAAAATTCACACCGGTTCGGAATGGAATCTTCTTCATAATTAAATCGTAAGTTTAAAAACCTGACCCGTCGTTATAATTCACCGCGCCACTATTAAACTATTCATTGCTGGCCCCGCATACTCGGCATTGCCTGGTACAAAGGAAGAGAGTGCAAAGATCCTACACGGAGAAATGATAGTAATTTTGAAGCAAAGAATTTAATTACTGTTTGTGCAATCACATTAAAATACCTCGAACAGTTTCTTATTTTTATTGGAACACAAGGCACTCAACGACTTTATTAATTTCACCCTTGAAACTTTCACGAATAAATAAAAAATTAAATTAATGTTCTTAGGCTGCGGATTTTATGGATTTATAGTATGCACGATTATCTGAAATTCCGTACTGTAAAACGTATAACAAATATCAACGAGATGTTCATTTTCCATAGAAATTTATAGAACCTCGAATAATGAGAACAAATTTGTCCTGGATTCTAATTTCCGTAAAGTAGTCTAGAAAAATCGGTATTTGCACAAACATTCGCAGTATAAATATTATAATAAAATTACGTACAAGTAAGAAAAAAGTTTAAGAAATTCCCGTGTTAAAATTGCCGATGTTACTCAATGAGAATTAAAATCATATTCAATACTAGCTGAAATTAAATTTAATTCTGTTTCGACGCAGTTTGTTTTATATAGTAACACAAAGTACATTTCAATTATTTATTATCCTAAATTTCGTTAAGAAAAGAGGATCTTACGTTTATTACTTTTTAAATATATTAATTATTATATATGTAAAGCCAGGTCCAGACACGTGCAACAGCGAGCAAGAAAAATCCCGTTCACACTCGAGCAACATGCAACAGAAAAGTAGGCTTGTAACTCTTTAAAAATTAATTTTTGATACGCCCGGCATAAATATCTAATTTTCTTATTTTAACACAGTAATTAATGTTTGGGTAGGCATGGTAACAAAGACACATTCCTTCTGATATTTTCTATGATGCGCGTCAGAATGCTTGCGTTCGGCTTGACGAAGTCGTTAGCTGCGCGTCGACCCATTAAAATCGATCCTTTTAAGAGTGTTCTGCAATGCGCGTTGCACGTGTCTGAAGTTGGCTTTATATTTGACATTTTGTCAAAGTAAACCTAATGGGTTGATTCTAGTAATTTTACTAATAGTCACGTAAATTGGATGGAATATTTTTTGTCAAAGTAGAAATAAGGGAGTGGTACACGTAACATAATTAGTAAAGTTTATTTCCCTGTGTAATAATATATGATTATCTCTTTCTAACTTACCTGGAACGTCGCGCTCACAAGGATTGGAGTAGCCAATGGTGTTGTTCGCAACACAAACGTATATTCGGAAATTGGTTACCGATGTATCGAGTCGGATGTAGCTTTTTCCATTCCGTATCTCGGCAACCTGTTCCAGCGTGTCGTTGTCACTCTTCAAAGACCAAACGAAATCGGTCTCTTTCGGATTAGCTATCGCAGAGCACACCACGTAATCCTCGCCGTCTATTCGTTCCTTTTCCACGTGACACTCTGGTTTAACTGGTAAAATGAGAAATGTTCAAATTTTATTTCTTTTATCATGTATTACCTACATATTAATTAATGGAGATATATAAATGTAAAGTGTAAAATAATATTTTCCCTCGGATGTTTAGTCAGTAAAATAATTAAATTCGAAAATTCAAAATCATTACCTTACGCTGTGCGCAATATTGGTTATTACTTAGAGTAATTCATACTTTGTAAGTAATGTATTTAACGTAGATGTATGAAAAATCTATTTTATCAGGCATGTTAAGGTGCACACAAAAGCTTCAACAGTAAAATTAATAGTTGATAAAAAAAGCGTAATAGACACTTCTGCATTACACTTAACATTACTTTTTAGAATCTAAATTTTCCGATTTAAGTTCTTTAATTTATAAAATAATAATTCACGAATGCGTAAAATAGATTTATCTTGATTTATTTAAAATTTCTATTCCTTTTTAAATAATTCTAATTTATGTATCAGCTCATAATCACTGGTGCAGAATACTTCACAGATTTGTTCGAGGTTACTTCTTAACTACTTTTCAGAAGCGATGTAGTCTGAAGACCTTAGTTACAGTCATCATCAAAACTTGGAACAATCTTCAATAATTTCTTTGTTTTTTAGTATCCAAACCTTGCGAACGTCGATTCAACTTTACCTTTCAGTACTTAGAAACAAAGTTCGGCAATCAACAGAAACGACAGTCTGGAAACTACGATTTTACGAAAAACTATGATATTTGGATACTATTATCTAGTGTGAAGAAAAAACCATAATAACGATAAATTACAAATATTCTATTTTAATCTTGCAACTGTTTTTCTCATTATTCAATTCTGGATGTTCATACAAATTTCCATACGTATAAATAAATTGATTAAACTGGGGAAGAAATTGGAATTTAACATTAAATTTGGATGGAATCGAATTAAATGGAATTTAAAAAATACAAGATTTGTAGATTTCACTAGGTAAAACCATCATAGTAACAATTAACTCTCAAACCTTTAAGTAGGCGCATATGGTCACAACCACTACAATTTATTGCCTTGGTTTTCATTCCTTAGAAAAATAACAAACGTTAATTATCAAATTGATTAATTTTTATTTTTTAATGCCTCCAGGTTTACTTTCATTTTAAAAAGATTTTGTTAGTGCGCCTACTTAAGGATTAAATCTTATATAATCTTTTGATTTTACTACAGTAATGTCTCGACGAGTGTGACGAACTCGGGTCCGTTTCGGAGCAATCGTGGCAAGGCAGAAAGGTTTTGCAACCCGACATAAATTTGTTTATGTACGAAGTCTAGCCTCTGTTTAGTTTCTGTTTACTATGTTTCGATTGCTTTCAGAGGGGGACCTCCCCAGTGGCGTGAATAACGCCGTTATTCTTGTCGCATTCATCGAGAAATCACTGCTACACCACATAACTACACAGAATCCTTTGTTTGAACACCGACATCAGATCAAATCTGCTTACAATAAAAAGGAGCATTCTATCTATAAAAAGTATTCCTCCTCAGGATCCTAAATCTCATAGGATATTTGAATGTCGCCCAGAACGGCCTAGCATGGCGCGGCAATTGTATCTTTACTTACACTGAACATTCATGACCATGGAAATGTTACGGCTTCCGTGGCGATTCGATGCTTCGCAGTAGTATGTTCCGTTGCTGCGCCTCGGAACGGGCACTTTTAAGTCGAGAACACGGCCCTCGACGATGGTGTCCGTAGAGCCTTCGCGGAACCACCGGAACGTGGGCTCTGGGTGTGCTCTCGCGTTGCAGCTTACAGTTTCCGGTATCATGTCGACCGTGACATTTACCGTTTTCTTCGAGATCGTCATATTTTCCGGGGGAACTGGCAAAGAATAAGATAGCTATCTGAAATGGCTGCATTTCTTTTCTAAGAGCATCGTTGCAAATTATTCACGAGCTGATCAAATGTTTATTACGAAACGAAGTAAAACATTACCTCTCCGACTGAAATCTACCAGGTTTATGTTGAAATGATTTTAATTCTGATTAGTGGTTCGTTCGGAAAGTTTGCAGAGTTTTCTGCACAGTGTATTCGTTACCTTTTTATTGGACGAAGGAAAAATAGTTTGATCCGATGAACAGGTATTATTTTTCAAGTATGGATTGAATGTATTCGCTGCACGAGTTACTCGAACTGTTGTTATTTTCTCGGAGAAATACCGACGAAATGTGTGACCAGGCACGAAGTCCATTTTCATTACGTTCTATCGAACTTGTAAAGAAACTATACTACTTCGACTGGTAAATTTCATAAGATTTAATGAATTAATCGGACTTCACCCGATCAGATGGTTATTCCATTAGATCGCTGGAATATTCCGTATTAAGAAAACAACTTGGAAAACATAATCCAACTACAAACAGGTTGGAGAGTTATGTGTGGGCTAAAAGAATTGAAGTCGTACATAGGTGGTACAATGAAATTGATTGCAAAATAAAAATAAATTATAAAAAAGTAGTAAATCATAGTATGATGTAAATTGAACAATATCGATTGTAACTCTGCCGTTGTAAACTTTACGAACATTCCGAACAACCCGATATAAAATTTGTTTCAAAAACCTTATCTGCGTTTCTAACACTTTCAAATTCATGCCCTATGGAAATTACATTGCGTTAAACATTTATTTAGTAATCGTCTGAGTGGTTGCAACTGCTGAAGAAATACGTAATAAAATGAATGTAGCAAATACAATTAAACGAGCATCCTATTAACTGTTTAACCCTTGGAGTAAGGTTACCGGGCCCGTTTGGACCCGAGTGTTGAAAAGCTGTATCTAACTCATCGTGTAAATATAATTTAAGCTAGAAGTTGTTCATATTTAATGATATAAAAAAACAGGTGTTTTTTAATGATCGGGTTCGAATGTATGTTGAAAAAGACGGAAGCATAGGGTTTCAAACTGATCCAGACACCACTGTTTCAACGAACATTAAAAACGTCCGTACTTCCAGTGTTAATGAACCTTTAGAGGACGGGCAGATTTTTCATGACTCTTTATATTTCCGAGTCAGAACTTTCATATACATATTTATTTATTTATTATATGTATTTATGGTTCATTTTATTATAGTGTTATACTCCGAACTCTGGAGCCTAAAAATAGTCTCCACGTCCTCTACAAGTTCTCTAATACTGGTATACCGACGGTATGTCCACTAATGTCTCTCTGTTCCCGTCCAAATTCCATTGAATCTATCCAAACAGATCATCTTTACCCGGTATACCTCACCACAGTCTTCGCCATCGACAATAGACGATTTAATGGAGTTCTTGAAATTCGTGTCAAAGTTGTGGTTCTGTGGTGGTGAGAGTTAAGAGGACTTACATTCCACGTGAAAATGAGTGCTGCTGTTCACCCCAGGCCCAATCCCGTTGCTGGTGCTCTCGCAGGTGAACTTCACGTTGTCCTCGACCCTGTCCAGCTGACCACCCGGCCAGGCGGTCAGGTTCCAGACTAAGGTCGACTGGATGCTTTCGAAGTCGTTCGTTCGCGGATCGGGGGGATGATAAACGTTCGAGATATAGTATCGGTTCGTTTTTGTGAAATCCATCGGAATATCGTCCTTCAGCCAGGAAATATTGCAAATGGGCGCGCATTCGACCCAGCACATGATGCTAACGTTCGGTGAATTGTACACGTAGCCGTGATAAGGGAGCAGCTTCTTGATAAAGGCAGGTGCCGCTATTGACAATCAAAGAACAAGTTTAACCGTGTTTTCGAGCGACGCCGGAGACATTGTTACAGCCCCGGAACCAGAGATAAGGGTTGACGCGATCGTTCCCGTCGATTGTGAAATACGTGAAATTTTCCAGACCCTGGCCGTATATCCTGTCGTATCCGACGCGTATTAGTTTCCGCGCTGTTTGTCGGTAACTGTTCTTTTTAGCGATGCCGATGTTCATTGCATACTTTTGTCGAACTTTATCGCGTCTGTGGAAGACGATAAAAAAGGTATTGCGTATGTAATGTTTGTTTTGATCATTTCGGTTGCAATATTGAAACTGGTACACGGTATATAGAGTGCCAACTTTTTGATAGTAGTTTTAAAAATAATTATGATACGGTTTTTCAGCGAATAATGATGCTGGTTGAAGATAGTACTTTGGAAATAGTTTTGGTATGTTTATTTTCAAGATCGTCAACGTTTTCGGAAATGTTATTCTTTGAGATTGTTACTTCCGGAACTATAATGTCAACAGTGTTTATTTATTGTATTTACGTTTCATCATAAACAAAAATTTTGTTTGGAACGTGTGATAAAATTGTTTAGTAGAAAATATTGTTAGCTAAAACTTTGTTTAGCAAAATTGAAAGAGTTAAACAAACTAAGTTTTTCATTTGTCAGTTTAAATTAAGTATCAGTACGTTAGGAAAACAGCAAAGGAAATAACAAATTCCGTTTTAACCTCAGTTAGAACTTTCGGTTAATATTGACAGTCTTTCATTTTACTCGATTAAAAAACTACAGTTCAATAAATATTTCGATCAACTTGGTTGAATTATTTCTAAACAAATACAGAATTTCACAGAAAATAGTGGACTACTTATTGGTACATTTAACAATTAACCTCGTACCAGCAATCTGAAACGCTTAAAATAAACGGTTCATTGTGGGAGAGGTTCCGATAGAATAATACGTTGCAACAACGAATAAACAAATAAAAGGTCTGGAAACCAATTCATTCCTGGTTCGTTGCATTCTGTTTATGTACATAAATACGTAGTTATATTCTTGACCGTCAAACAAATCGTAAGTGTAGTTTTATTTCTGTAGAATATTCGATTTCAAACATTTACAAAAAGAGTTAGTTTTATGTTCCATTCATTGTTTAGTCTTCAGTACGATGATAATAATTCGACAAGGAAGAATAAAAATATACCTATAAAACATACCTATATTTCCATATTATGAAGAACAGTTTTAAGCAATTTAACTTACAACAAAAGTGGACATTTTTCTTGCCATATTTGGTTATTTCAGTGAACACTCAATGGGTTATTTAAAAAATTTATTACTCTAAAAAAAATTTCAATTTCCCTTTTAGCATAATCGCGGAAGAAAAACGAAAACCTAGCTCCGGTCTTGCATAGTTGTGTTTACAAAACTACTTTCCGACTCCTAAACGGCCTGCTGTCACGCGAAAGACGCATGACAGATTTATTCGCCGGGGAATTAGAAACTTTTACAGCTAACTTTCAACTCACCGGATACGTCGATAAATGTGGTGGCCGGGTCCCCGTCGCCGGCTTTATTGTAAGCGAGACAAGTAAAGTTCGCTTCAGTTTCCAAATTAACCGACTCGATGGTAAGGGTAGCATCATTTTCATCCGGAAGTCTGTGAAGGCCTCGTAACCATTTAAAGCCAACTACCTTTGGTCGTCCTGGGTCCAGGACGAAGCATGTGATGGTCAACGGACGCTTCTTTATTACCTGCTGAGGTTCGTAGGAGATCGAAGCCGGACCAGGTTTATCTGTAGTTTGCAACAACAAGAAAATTCTCAAATGTATGTTACCATTTTACTTTCAAAGCTTTGTTTCCTATATTAAGAAAGTATTAGCCTGTTGCATAATTAATTTCGCTTTGAGACTGCAAGATAGTATAAGTTATAAGCGTTTACTGCAGACCATTCGGCTCAGAGATGAATAATCCGACAACGACTATCTTTGTAACATTTTTAACACGTTGACTGCCACAGTGGAAAAGGCAGTACGTAGCCAGACACACTTTATTTCGTTTCTTAAGTCATAAATCTTTGAAAATATATGCGTTTAATTAATTGAGATTGCTTGTCTTGTTTTAAATTATACTGTGATATTAATCTTATGTCAAAATTTTGTAGAGGTATTTAAATAATCCAGAATGTTTGCAATGTTTCAACTACGAGTTATCTCGTGGCTGGCAGTCAACGTGTTAATAACTATTGGAACGTTATTTTTCATTATCGTTTCAATTGAAAGTACTCGATCGCCTAGAATAATGTTTCCCAATATACGCCCCATTGAGGGGCAATTTGAGTATTTTGGAGGGCAATTAGCAAATCATTGACATTCGTCACCACATCGATAACAATTTTACCAATGTGCCTTTTTGAATTGAAACAGTTAGTGATGTTACATTTTTCAGAACTTATTATTATACTAAGGGGGCATCGAGATCTTTGAGGCGTTGTCCAAAAAAGATTGGGAGACACTGGACTAGAGCTTTCGAAATTCTCCATTAGATGATGATACTGAAAGAAAAATTGAAATTCGTCATTCAGGCTAGTGGTCTATCGTTAAGAGTTAATGTAATTAAGTTCTGAGGCGTATTTTTAATTGAGATGTATTACGTAATTTCACCCTAATAAGTATGTAATTGTAAATCTCTGTACTTACGAAATATTTTCTGACTACATAACATTTTTGCTAATTCCTATTTGGAAAAATAAGTAGGGGAGATCGCGGTAGAAAGTAATAGTTTTTGGCGTTAGTGCTGTCTCCTTTATTTAAAAAATTATAAGCCCTGTTACCTAACCCTGTTACTTTTAACCACGGTCTCCCCCAACTTTCAGGAAGTCAACTAATTTGCATGAAAGATAACGCGAAAGTATATGAAACACAACAAAAGAATTTTGTTGGCAAGGAAATTTTCACCTACTTCAATGTTTTGATAGATCTCCACACGTTCTTGTCAAACAAAACTGGCTTAAGAACATACAAATCGTAACATTGGAATTGTAAAAAAGGAAAACGTTGGAGATACAATCAGGGAACAAGCTGCTTACATTCGCGAATCTTTGCGGGAACAGAATTATTCAGATCAACGGGCTGAGAAGTCTCCGAGATGCGGGAAGGGTGGGGAGGGATGGGCGGAAAGAAAGATTGGATCAAAGAATTAAAAATTAAGACCGCTCACAATGGACTATGACAGGTGCACTCGGTGAAAGTGGTCCCCAGCCAGCGTCGTTTCTGCCCTCGCAAGAGTAGTTCCCGTGAAAGGAACGACCCACTGCTTCCAGCAGCAGCTTGCTCGGATCGATATCGCAGAAAATTAAAGATTCCTCGGTGGTTGTGGTGGTCGCCGTGCTATTCCTCGTGCAATCCGGAAGTTCTTTCAGCAGGTCCCCGTCCAAGTACCATCGGACGGCGGTCAGACTTGCCGGATTTCCAGAAACAACTTCGCAGGTCAAAGAGACGTTCGAACGATCCGCCTCGTTCACGGGCTCCTGTGGGTCCATTATCACTTCGACCACCGGTTTATCTGCAAGTGAACGGACAAACTGTTATTTTTCTTACTGTTGGATTTATACTGGCCGCTCTTGTGGTCCATTGTGCTTGAATCCTACAAGGGTAGGACGATTGCACTATGGAATACATACGGTTGAAGAATTTTTGTGAATAGACATCCTTAGGATGAAAGAATCGATAAGTAGATGGATGTATACTTAGAAGAAAGGCGTATGTTACAAAGTTTTTGAAAAATTTTAAAACAATGGTACCCAATTTTGTGTTTGCAGGTAATAAATTACTTTCTCATTATTGGATTATTATTTATTTTTCAAAGTGGAAATAGGCGTATTTTACAACAACAGCTTGTGTAATTGACGTACGTTATTATCTTGTAACTATGCTCTTCTTCTAGACAACCAATTCAATTAAAGGTACCTACTACCGAACGGTTAATGGCGGATTAAACGGCGTCTTTATAAAACTGCGAAAATCTATCTAGTATGCTGCAGTCACTTATTAATAAAAATTTGTTCTGCTTCGGTTACATCGTCTTAATCTTTTCTGATCTATCCTGAGTCTCCTACAGTTATGGAGTATTATTAACTGTTCCATTAAGGAATTCAGTGTTTTGTTAAGCTTGTAGTGAGCGCATCGTGGCACCAAGTGACGTAAAGAATGCATTCTCATTTCACAGTCAGATGACTATTAATGTTAAACTGGAGAAGATATGCACACCTTGTTTACGGTAATTTTGTAAATCATGAATGGAATATCTATTTAAAAGCATCGAGTGCTGAAACTCGACCATTAATCATTTAATTTGAATTAAAATTTTTAAATTACTAAATTAGTTTCAATATATTTTATCATCTATTTTCTTTGACGTTAGGAAAGAATGAAAAATATTACTGCAGGAGTCAAATCAGTTTCCGATTCTTTTGGAACAAATACTGAATTTCTGTTTACACAATTTCAGGAAAAAAAGTACTTCTTGACGTCTTTATAACTTCGAAAATCTATTTCACCCTTTTCCCATTTAATTCTTCAATGGCTTATAAATACTTCCCGAGTTCCACGTACCTCTCCTTTTCCACAAGCCTCAAAAGAACTGTAATACCATATCGAGCACATAATTGTGCGATTTATCTTCTCCATTTGGCCCGTACCACAAACATCTCATTAAAATGAATCTAATCAGTGTAAGAGACAGAATATTTTCTCTTCCCTTTATGTGGCCCTCTCTGACTGTCGAACGACCGACTGTTTTCAAACTCTCGAGGCTCATGCATTTTTTACGAGGTCTGGGGTATAGTATAAAGATTTATGATCGCGGTGAAACCGTTCAAAAGCAAACCATACGCGTTTCGGAGACGTTTCCTCGGGAACCGTGCAAGTAGGTGTCTATTTATGCTACATCAGATCGGATAAACGGCAACACAAGACGCTCGATGAGAGAAAGAGCCAAAGGACCCAAAGTCCGAAGCACCTGAATGAAACTCAGGGTGCAGGATCCAATCAGCAGATTGGCTGGAACATTTTTTATCCGCAAGGTAATCAAGATTTCAGCAAGTTCAAAACAAAAGAACCCGGAAGAACGTCCGCGGAGTTTACCCGGGGACGAGAAGAAGGAAAAACAACGACCGTCGAAAGAGTGGATGGTCGGCGGAACTAATTTTCTGCGTTCGAATTCTCGGCCTGCTTCATGGATTGTTTGCACAGACCACAACACTTCCGAGCGTTATTAAGGATGCAATTAGAAATTCATTGTAAAACGGCCGTGTTTACGGTGAACCGATGTTTATTCTCAATCATAGGTACGTTGCTTTAATAACAAGACTGCCAGAGATGCGCGTGTTTTTATTTCTATCGTGTTGGCAAAAGGTACAGTTTGTTGAAAAAATGCAAATCGATAAATTAATCAACTTTTTTATTTATTTATTCCGATAAAAGTTGCAAAGAATTCCAGAAACTGTTCTGTTATGAGTCATAGTATATGTCATAACTTATGATATTTTAATAATGTTTTGAGGGTTTAAGAACTAGTCTTTTTTATTGTTTTGGTAGTTTTAGTGTTAATGAATTGTAGCGTTGTTCTCGGTTTTTCTCTTGTCAACTCTAATAAAGATGTCTGATGATAACAGTTCATATGGCGTGGAATGTCTTGAAACTGTCACTTCATCTTGAAAAATGTCATTTCTGTCTAGTAAGAGATTCAAATATAACTAGGTCTATTTCATTTACAGTTCGTTTAACAGCAAGTTACTGTACAGGGTGGTCTACACGATTGCAGGAAAAAATATTGGAGAATGGACAGTCCAATGAATACTATATTTGTAGGACCATATAATCTTTTGCGAGTGCAACGATGCCTGTGCATTTAACAATAGCATAATTTTTTCAAAATGGTAATTTAATTTGGTTTGCATAATCGAACCTTCTAGTTATTCTTCGTTCAAAAGTATTGGGTAAAGTGGCGAAAAAGCGACAAGTTCACGCGATATTAATGGACTTTACATTCTTTGGCTCCGAACAAAATATGGACTTGATATCATTTTTACACTGTTATGTTAAATACTAAACTACTTAGGGTGATATAATTTTTACCTTCGGAAGGAGTGCAAAATTTGATACGGGAAACATGTTAACGGTCATTTAAAAAGAAAATTAGACTTAATACAGGGTCCAGATATGTAATAAAAAAATTAGTTCCTGAATACTAAACTGAATATCAAATATGTCATTTAATATCATTTTCTTTACTAATTAAAGAAAAATTGACAATGGTACGTAGTTCGGAGCAACATCAACTTCAATCATACAGTAACCGAATAAAGCTTCGTTCTTTTCTTCACAGCAAAGGCCAGAGATAGAAACAGAAAATACGAACAGGGGTTTAAGACGCGAGACGACATTAACTTTACCAATACTTCTGTTGTTTCCTCGAGATTTATGTTCAACACTTCCTCCAACAAGTTCACTATCTTGTATATGCTTGACAGAAATGTAGAGCAATAAGCGTCAGACGCAATACGGACTTTAAAGTTCATATATGCTGAATTATTTTAACACTTGTCTCGTGGATTTATCGAGGCTGATTAATCCTGTAGTTTCTAGATTCTAGATATTTCGTGCAGTTCAAGACACTTCCATTGAAGTATAAAATTAAACCCTTCTATTGTGATAATTATTTTTACCGGATTGGAAGTTCACTATGAATTACTCGAAAAAAAAGAACGTTTAAATACAGCTCAAAGATTTATGACTGTTTAAGAGATATAATTCTTTCAGTTGACGTGAAAAATTACTGTCAGTACGGTTGTGTTACTCTTGTCGGTGTTTTTACTAAAATGAAAAATAAACACGATTCCACGTGCATAAGAAGTTGACAGATTCAAATAATATTTGTTCATAAGAGGTATTATTGTTTAAAGAATCTATTTTGAGAATTCATCACTATAATTTGAGAAATATTATTAACCTTTTCAGAAGTTGTTATTGGTAAATAATTGATTTAATTTGTTTTAATTTAAGTGTTTCAGTTTCTTCCAATTGTGTAATGTGAAAATATTTTTACGAGTAGTTATTATCGACGTCACCACACACGGAGAAAACAAGCAGCCGGCAAAATAGTTCGGTTCCGATTCGTATTAGCGCAATTTGTCGCGTTTTAGTGTGGTAAACGATATTTATGCGTCCATAAATCTTCGTGGACACCGCTTTAAAGCCAATGTCGAGACACATGTACCGTTTGCGTTTTTCATTCGCAAATATAATCCATCTAACATTCCTTTCACAATGTCTTTTTTTTTAATTATCGAACGCAAATCATGGGACTAATTACCAAAATTTCACTATAATTATTGATTCTAATAATCGATTAATGTAACATATACTTAAATTATGTGTTATTTAACACATAAGTTTACGATATAATTTAATTAAAAGAAGATTAAACAATTCAGACGCATATAAATATAACTGCAGCAAATATAGGTCCGTATTGTACATTAAACATAAGTTGTAACGAACCAGTATATTGATATTATATTAATTACGAAGATAATGTACACAATTTATTTCGTTATTTGATATAGAATACACAGCCTGTGGTTGCAATGGACGTAGAGGGTGGGGCATACAAGAATAATTAAGAAAATATAAATTCAATTTTTCCATATAACACGTCGTGTTTGTAAAAAATAAAATTTGAACAGTGATCGTTCTGCTGAGTTTTTGCTGTATTTTACTAATTCTATGTATTAACAGTTACATACGCGTGTCTTATAAAGAAATTTTGTTGAAATTGCTAAGTTTTTTTTAACGAAACTAACCAGTTATAAATATAGTAAACATAAATAATAATCCTATTAAACAAATATCATGTATAATACTTGCATTTCACTATTGATTTAAAGGAAGTAACAGGAAAATTCGTTACAACTTTGTGGTCGGCAATAAATAACCTATAAGTTAGAAACTAATTTTCTTTGGTTACCCATGGAATTCGATGTAATAACTTACACAACGATTGTTTATTTCGTGTGTGACGCCTATAAATCAGTGAGGTGGAGTGGTTGTATTCAGTGCAGCCAATCGATTCCAGTTTGTTTAGCGTAATATCGGCTCGAATTTATACGTATTACGTTAAGTTACTCGATTCATCAATAATTATTAAATTTGTTCGATAGGTAGGTACTATTCAAAATATCGCGACGTATTATAGTAATTAGCGAAACTGATGTTCCGCGCGTTGTGGTCGCTTATTCAATAAGGCAAATAGAAACCGAAACTCGGATGCTATAGACAGAGGAGAGAGGTTCACGTTATTTGGCTAACGTTCCCGCAATTATACGATTCACTGATTCGTCAAATTATTTATCTTAATTGCAACGACATACATAATCACATTGCGTTATGTACTTTGGTTTCCATTATATTGTTATTCACAACTGTAGCAACAGATAAAATAAGTTATTATTACACTGGGATTTATATGGAAATCTACAACTGTTTTGAAAATACTATACATGTGCAGAAATTTATTTTCTCTCTGAAAGATTTTTTTTATGAGGAAAGAATCAAAATTTTACTATATGTAATGGAACCTTTTGTTTTATTTTCACTGTTTTTATTGTTTAGAATTCCTGGAAACCTGGTTTTCAGAATTATGAACTGTCTTCCATTGAATTTTCAAATTTTTGACAGAAAGCTACAGTCGAAAGTGTTCGAGAAGATATTTTAAACGACTCAGGCAGATATAAAATACGAGGATATCGTTAATTTTTAATACTCACATAACACGGAGACTTCAACGACATCTTCGGAAACGGATGCGTTAACGTTATTCTCTAAAATACACTTGTAAGTTCCCATGTCGTTGGCTGATGCATTTTTCACGGTGAGGGCCGTTTGTTCCGTGATGCCACCCTCGTAATGGTCGTCTGTTAAAACTAATTTCTCGTCGTCTCGTAACCTAAGAAAATAAATAAAACAAGTATTTAGCAGATAACACATGATTTTACATTAGATAATTTAATTGGGATAACTTTCCTACACTTTTTGAACGATTTTAATTATTTTCTAAAACAAGTACCATGATGTATGACGATAATATATTCAAATAATTTTTACATTTGATATGGAAATTACGGACAATGAAAATGTTTCATGAAAGTCGTTTTATAACAAACATGATCCGTTATGTTTATAAGTTACTTTCAATTAACCCTGCTGTTCTCTTCGGCCCTCTATGACCCGGAATGAAGACTATTTTTCAATAGGTATCTATTATGTTTTTAAATATTTGTTTTTAGTATTCAATGTATTTAAATGTTATGTTTACTTTTTGTGTGTTTCCGATTTCTTAAGAACAAATCATTTCAAACTTTGAAATAATTTCATTCGAAGGGATAGAAACGTGAAGTATAAATAAGGCGAACAGTAGGGTTAATAACAAACTTCTATGGCATAGTTATACAAATATCAAACACTAACGAGTATATCGCACCTCTCGAATGGATGTTTAACATTCCGTGCAAACATAACTGAGTAAAAATTAAATAAAATGATGACTCTAATATTTTTGAATAATGTATTTAAACTGTTTCTAGCCTTACGAGACCCAGTAAAGTTTCCAAAAATAAGTCTATAAAGTATAACATTTACTTTTATTACCGCGCGTGTTGCAATTTTTTAACAAAATATGCGCTCGTAAAGCTCGCGGCCGAGCAACGAATCCTCGCACGCGCCGTTAGATGCATCAGCGTGAAATATGGTTTTTAGGGTGCGCTACGAAAAATAAAACATAATAAATCATCCCGATGGATTCACGCCTTTTTATTCTGACATTTCGAGTGCTGTACGGGAGATACTTCAAATCCTAGCTATTCAAGGTTCACCAATGCGAATATATTGGCGCCATCATTCGATAACGGTGTGGGATATGAGACGCAAAGAAATAGTAGCATCGACTAATATGTAAATAGTCGAAGAAGTTTATTCCAAAATGTATTTCTTATTAAGATACTTCACACGTTTATATCTTTGGATTTGCATAATTTTTATTCGTCAAGTTTTAAATAAAAATTAACTATATTATACAAATTTGATATTTTTCTTTACGATTTCTGTCTATTTTTGAATATTTACGTTTACGTAATTATGTGTAACAATAAGGAATCCGTTATTTTTTTTAATAAACTGGTAACATGGTTTAAATTATAACATTTCCAAGCTCTTTTCTTGTTTGAAAATGATATAGAGGTTACTGGAGAATGCGAACAGATATTGTTGAAATAGAATAAGCGTATCATTATATAAGAAATAAGTCTTAATAAAACATGGTGAATTATTTATTGGTGCAACTAGTACAAATTGATTCCCTTGTTTTTAAAAGTTTGTTTTAATAGACGAAATGGTAAATTTTGTCTGTTTCAAATAGATATACATAATTGTATAGACGTGTAATTGTTTTCTCAAAAAGATTTTTCTTGTATTAGTCTGGCTGATAAACACGTAGCTGTTTGAATAGATAAGATTTTAACTCAACGAAATATGATACGAATTATGAAATAATAATAACACGTCTTCAGTGTACACATTGGCGTAAGCATACTTCCTCGAAATTTTAAATACTTTCATAACCAAATGTACCTTTATATTATATTTATTTTTATATGAGTTATTCACAACATTTCTACAGGAACGAAAATATTTTCAGCATAGTGGAGAGCAACGTTATCGAACAGAAGTTATGCATTCTTGTTTTATGTCCCGTATTAACCTTTTGAATTCCAATATCGGTATACGGTCGATAAACAGGTTTACGATTACGTTACTTTGTGGCCCGTAAAAAAATTTTTGTCGTAAACGGTGGTGTATACGAACTAAGTAATGGCGTCAATTCAGACGTTTGATACGTGTTTTTGATCCTTTACTTTGGTAGTATCTACGATACTATCTAACAGATATTTTTGACATTGTCGTTTACAGTAACAAATATCTGTAATAACCGATAATTTTTTAGATTATCATCCACGGTACAAACAATATTTACATAATTTGTATACTGACAAATAGAAATATTGATTTGAACTATTTCTTTAATAAAACGGATAGCTTTTGTGTACTATTGAAAATAAATTAATTATTGAGTTGTAGCTATTTGATTAAATACGTTTCTTTCTTTTTAAACTGTGCATAGCAATATAACAATTTTTGTGTTATTAGTTTGTAGATACCAGTTAACATTACAATATCACCTACAGTACACCTACTTTGATACATTAACTGACAATTCAAACTGAAATAACTGAAATTATATAACCGGCTAAGAAGAACTTTAATCACATATGAATATTTCCATAAGCCGCGGATTAATTACACGATCTATCCTGCAGTTTCAAAATGGCTTTTAAAAAGGATCACTGTGTACACTTGATCCAACGTGTGCTGCAACGCTGTATTTAAGTTGATAAAGAATTTGTATCGTCGCTGGCTAAATTCAATCCAATCTTCACCAACTGAGGATTAACTTCTCGTTACTTCCCCCTTGTTTTATAACACAGTTAGCCGTGGTTGGACGAAGCGCTATAAACTTGCGAAGCTGTTCACCGTACAATAAACTTTGCGAGCAGTTTTGCAGGAAAGTGAGGCGAGATTCAAAGCAAATGCTTGTACTTGGAGGCTTTCTCAAGCCTTTTAAGAGGACACATTTGTAAGGTCACTGAAAATGAAAGTGTTCGCCAGAAGAAAGGTTTAATGGGGATGGAAGATGTGGTCAAAGTTATAGGAAGGTTGCAACGAGTCGCTCCTACTGACTTAGGTATTATTAAATGTATTTTTTGTTACCACTGAAGAGATCTAGATATGGAATATTGTAACAGGAGGAAACACTTTCTAACGGGAAGGTAATTATTATTAATATATTGTATACTGAGATTATCATAATTTTCTTGGAAGGATTTATGTATTATATTGACGGTGGTCTATTATATGTATTAAGAATATTTGTGATTCTAGTGTAACATTTCTATTCATGGTTTAAGAAGTATATTACAGGTAAAAATCATGCTAACTTTTTACATTTTCATTTTGTTTGAAACTTTAATTATTGTAGGAAGTTACAGAGTTGAAATTCTTCACCGATTTAAATAGATCTTTTTGAGATTTTATTTTGTTTACAGTATGTATTTTATGAGTCGATTTGTTGCATTAAATAGAAACTTACCACGTTACTTTTGTCAAAGTAGCTGGATTGGCCTCGTAGTCACAAAATATTAGAATATCTTCGGTTTCGTTGACAGTGATGTTCTCCGGTCTCATTCTGACTATCGGTGGATCTGTAAAAAGAGAGATCGTATTTCGATTAAAAACGGTGCACCGAATAATTACCGAATAACAAATTTTAGTGTATTCATAACGCTAATCGTAAATAAAAGTCTGTAGATATTAAAAATACGCAAAACAAATAATGATAGAATGCAAAACACCCATGGAACTTTCCGTTTTCGCTAATTATAATTTATGAAGAGTAAAAAAGAAATTCTTTAAACTATTATAATTAATGTATTGTACTGATGTAATATTAATAAGCTTGAATAATATCATGTTCAAATATACATGATGTAACAATAATAACAGCGATAAAGTAGTCGATTTCTAATTGTTAGACAATGTTACATAAATCTTTGAATAAATTTCACTTGATATAGTAAATAAAATACAAATATAGTTATATCTGCATAGGGAACAACTTGAATTTCTCGAGATAATCTGAATTTGGAACTAGATCTTCGATAACGTTATTGAATACTCTCTGTTTGCTGAATGGTTTCTGTACTACACCTGTAATAGTCCTTCCCAGAAAGTTAAACGAAGATTCATGAAGTTTGATTATCCAGTTTAACGTCGGTGACGCTATGAGTTGAAGTCCAGTTTAGTTAAAGTTTACGGGCGTGTAAGGAAATTAACCGAAATTGCTTCTAACTCATTGTTATGTAAAGTTCATTTTATAAATATATATTTTGACTATGAAAATAATACCTGTTACATAACAATGTATGCTTTCAATTCAGAAGTAAATAGATTACTGATAATTTCTTTTTAATTTCAGGTTTTTTGTTGAATCTACTGTTAGGCCATGGACTACGAATTTGGTTGGTGTTTCTGTTGTATTACGGTAGTTAGATTTTATACTAGATGTTAGTGTCTTTTCTGCACTCGTATAACAGACGATTGATCGTTATTTTGTTATTATAGTGGCCGCAGTACGGTGGATAATTTTATTTGTAGAAATATATTCATATATATCAATGAATAACATCAACAATTTTATGAACCAAACGTAGACATACATCGAGATTAAACAAAACGTTTGTATATTGTTCAACTAAATTGAAAGAATAAAATACATCTGCGATTCAAATAGTCGTAATTCACGGATCTCGAGTTTTAAGCTCGTTCGACAAAAATATGAGCTCGTGAAAACGTATATTCTATAAATACACATTTTATTGTTGAAGTACTGAATTTTTAAGAAAGATTCGGATGTAGGTAAATTGTTTTCTATTTAGAATGGATTTTATTTGGAGAATTTTTAATGTTCTTTTGCTATCTGAGAGAATAGTTCGCTGAGATTGAAATACGATGCACATTTGAACTTGCTCCAGAAAACCACCGTATTTTTGTACTTAATATCGAGATAATTCAGCTAATAATGCTTCATAACAATCGAAAATAATGTGCGATAGCAGAGCGACGAGATGAAAAAGCGGTGTTGCGAGAGTTGAATTTTATAGAAGTTTTATGCCGAAACACGTGTCGTCGAAACAGGAGGAAACTGAAAAATGAGCACGGTGCCAAATTGTATGATATACTTCCCCAAACGGTAAAAATCATGGAAATTTACGGTTGCGTTTATAACGAATCGAGCCAGTGACTAACTAATCGTTGTGATCAGCGAAAATATGATTACATCATGTACATTCAAAAAATGTTAAGAGAAAAAAATGGTTTTGCAAATTCCGTGTGGTAAATAAATTCAAGAGTCGTGTAACCGCCAAGAGGAGTATGCAGCCCCTTAGCGTTTGAGGAGTCTTGGGGATGAGTTTAAAAGTTTCAAGTGTTTTTAAACTACGCAAAGTGAGATCCATAGGAATCTTTAGGGTGTGATGTGGAGGATACCAGATAGGGTCTTAAGGAGTTTTAAACGGCAATCGAAGCAGATAGTGATTTAGAAGAACACGATCCGCGTTTATGGACTTAGAACAATCGATCTGTGTAAATAATAGCGCAACAGCTGTGGCAGCAGAACCAACGATAAGAGGAAAAGCTGATGCATTTGAGGTTATGGGCGTGTCGATATTAATGTCTTTTCAAATATAAGTATCAATTTTTAAAATTGTTTTTGCTTTAAAATTATTACAAACGAAGGAAATGGTGTGGAAGTGATCTACAATACTGTACATTTTTTATACTAGTGCATTTTTGGGGGAAGAATAAATGACTATTGAAAAATATAGTACAATTGCGAATAAAATTATTTCCGAAAGTATTTGGTTACGTAAAGTTGATATTTCAAAGTAAAATCGTGAGGAAAGTCGATAAAATACTTTGCATATTCAGGTAATTGTCATTAAGAATAGTAGAAACAGAAAATGAAGTAATAGGCAAAGAAATATTCCACAATCTTTTATAATCAAGTTCACGTTTTCATAGATGAGAACCAATAATTTAAATATTAACTTTTTGTTAATAATATTCATACTCTCGATTTTTCATGGAGAATTTCATTCCAAATTTTCATGTATTGTATAAGAAAATTAAAGTCTTTTTCATAATAATAGCAATAGAAAATAATTGCTACCCGAAACTGATTTTTATACACTCATCACATATGTTAACTTGCAAAATACAACAAAAAGAAAACTTTACTCAAAATGTACTATAGGCTTTATCAGTCTTAATGTAAGCCACTATTTTTATGAGATCCAATACTTCTTTTCGTAAGTAAATAAAGTACATATGTTATTTTAACATTTTCCACGTCGCGCAACCGCAGAAGGATACGTAGAATTCAAACCATATTGCCATCTTATTAACCTATTAACAGTGAAATAAGGTAATTTATACGCAAATAATTACTTACTACTTAGAAAAGTATATAAAGATATCACAAACAATTTTTCGATCGGTACTCTTGTGTAACAAAATGTTGCATTTGTGCAACTTTGGGCAATGTTTCATTGAAAAATGTAAATAAAAAATCTCATATATTATTTTGTCGAAATGTAAAAATGCATTATAATACTAGACACCATACAATAGAAGCCCACAGTATGAGAAAGATATATCAAAAAATTTCCATGATTTAAGGCAAAATTTATTTATCATAATATTATAAACAGTTCAATTTCTTTATATTTTAAAACGTCATAGGATCCAAGTGGAAGGAGAAATAGTTATAAAAAGAATATTAAACAAATCTCTGAAATTCTCTTCCATAACTGCAACATGAAAACAGAATTCAATAATCTAAATTCACCGAAAAAAACTGCAAGTGAAATGTTGCGTTACCACACACATTTCGTCCTAATGGTTTGAAAAAGTAGGGGACTACTTATTCGTATACTTTATATTACAATATATTCGCAGGTTACTGGAACATTTGGTAAAAGAAATAAATTTCTAAATCATACTTCCATGTATGCGCAAACACGTGTCTGATAATGCGAAAACGACGAGGAAACAGATCCTAAAGTTCCTGCTTCCGAAAATATGTCGTCGTACGTGGCTCGTCTGGAATGAAAGCAACGCGTGTGTACGAGGGGAGCTGGGGGGATAAGAGGAGGTCCTAGGAAGCGCAGGGCGCAGGTTCGTCCGCGTTCCGGGATATGTTTAAACACGGCAGCGCAAAATGCCTGGGCATAAAACAAAACCTTCCCCGTAAGTGTATAGTCGCGAGAGTGGCCTGTCTAAGGGGGAGGGGAGAGAAGTTGGAGCCGCGCCAACATCGAGTTTCTCGTTTCCAATCCGTAGATAGCTTTCGTGCCGGCTACAAAACGAAACTTCTCCCCGTCGTTCCGCGACGTAACTGGAAACATCAACGAGATGTACGGCTATCTATCTTTCTTTTTCGTATCACCGGACCGGGATCTTTCGCCCCTCTCTACAACCGTAATTGAAAGATACAAGAAGTTGCTTATAAGCGACGGGATTATCGGGAACGTCCATCGGGATTTAGCGCTTTCTCGCCGTGTTATCTCGTGTGATCGGACCCGGAGAGGAGATCTTCAAACCCTCGATGGGGACGTAGTTAAGCATCCTTGAGTTACGATTTTTGGGTGGACGCGTTCAGTTGATTAAAGTCCTTCGAATCTATTTACTGGAGGACATCGGTTACCAATGGGACACTGATGGAACACCTTAATTATCTGCCCAGTTTCCCGGTACCGAGTTTTCTGCACTTATTTGCTACTAATGACTATAGACATCTATCAATGGATGTTTGATGTATATTGGTTGTAACTTTGACTGTAGGTATTGAGTGGAGTTGACTAAAGTCCTTCAAATTTATTTATTAGAAGACATCAGTTAGTAGTGAAATAGTGATGGATCACTTTAATTTTATGGCCAGTTCCTGTTACAGAGTTTTTTCATTTATTTTCTAGTAATCGTGACTATAGTCATATATCAATCAATATTTTATGTATATTGGTTGTAAAAGTGACTAATAGGTATTGAGTTAAGTTGAGTTAACTAAAGTCCTTCAAATGTATTTAATAGAAGACATCAGTTAGTGATGGAACACCTTAATTTTACACCCAGTTCCTGCTACAGAGATTTTTACTCATTTGCTACTATACTGGTTGCAATTGTAACTATAGGTATTTGTTAGAATTTAGTCTTGCTAAAAGTATTGTTGGTATATTCTGACTATTAGATTTTCTTAACCATAATGCGAGGAAAAAAGTTTGATAAGATGAATCTGTGTTTCGTAAGGAACACAAGCATAGTTGGCCAGAGGGCCTAACTTTTCATTAAAATATTACCATATTTCAAATGTTCCATTTTTCTGATTATGATTCTAAATCTAGATTATTTAGTTTTGTAGTACAGTCAAAATCGTGTTGCAGAGAAAATTGTGTCTATCATGCCTTCTGGCTCTTAGTCACCACTAACATTCGAATTTGAATTACAGGTTTCTAATTCGGCAATATGAAAAAAATTAGATAATATTAATGGTTGATGTATTATTCATAGTTATTTAAATAAATTCAATTTTCTCACTGATGCACTTTGGCGGGAACGATTTACTGTGGTTAATTGAAAATATGATTACATCTTTTAATAAGAATGAAAAAGCAAATTGGATAGGTGGTATAAAATGCGAATCATGTACAAGCTGTGCTGGTGAAGTGTAACTTAATTTCAGGTCGACTATATTGGACGTTGATCAAACATCGCAAAAAATTAGGTCAAAGAATGTCGAGACCGTTATGTACTTTTATTCCTTCGGATCGCTAAGGCTAAATTAGAAGCGATACTTTACGACTTTTTTGCGAGCCCGCCGTTTCCCGAGGAAAATTTCGTTTTAACCGTACCTTTTAGTTACTCGTATTTTCGCGGGAGACAAATGTACGAGGATCGTTTGTCTAAGCAGGTTCCGAGGACCACGGTCTCGACAGTAAGCGAAAATTTTATCGGAAAGTATATATTTAATCGTAACTGTTAATTTCAAATAAACTAAATCTGTTATTCCTACGTCGAATATAATCATGAGTAAACTGAAGATGTTTATGCAAATTCACAGCTTCAAAGATTTATTAAAGTAAGGGAACTTGAATGTTTTATTAAGAATTTTATAAGTCTACCAATAAAAAGGAAACCTTATGAAATCATTAAGATTTTCTTACGCTATAAACGCATTAAATTCGCAATCGAATCATTTTCTTTACTAATTACTCACGTTATTTTCGCTGATTTGATTTATAAGTTTAGTGATTTAAATAGGTACATTATGTTGACGCCCATAATAAAAAGAGTAGGAAGTGAAAATATTTTTCCACATTTTTAGTCGGAATTGCCACTCTCTACGATATTTAAAACTTTTAATGGAATGATCTGATATTCATTCATATACTGAACTTTCATTGACACCACCAGCCGTTAAAAGATTTTAGTGCCTGTTATAAATTATGGTTCCATTTAATCGATGCCTCAACTGATTAAATTAATACGGAAAGAGTATCTCTATAGAATTACCTACATTTTAGCTTATGTGCCCCAAATTTCTAAAGTACATAATTCAGGAATAGAAGTGTCTAATTTGTAATGTAATATAACAGATATCATCGTCAATATATCATAAATGTATCATAATTAATTAAATTATATTGGAATAATTTAGTCAGTGCACCATAACTGATTCATAATATAATTAATTAAATTATGTTAGAATAATTTAATAGTTTAATCGGCCATCGTTTTCATATTGCTTACCAAGTGCGAATACTATTAAAATAAACATTACAAAAATGCAAAATACAATATGTAAAATGTATACCTCTGTTTACATATTTATCGAAGGATTAAGGGTAGATCAGTTATACTGATTTATTGAGAAATTAAGTTAAAACCTGTGTTTGTTAAAATTTCTGTATGCAAAGCAGCGAAAATAATGTTAATCAAAAGCAGTATTGGTTGTTCATTACAATAAAAATTTCTTTCATACGATACGAAGAAGTGTTGAAAAAACGTTTTAGACGTATGAAGCATTCATAAATTATTAAAACAATGTTAGCGCATAGATAAACATGAATTCGTTAAGATTATTTACACGGTATCATTTACAGGTAGGTTATCTGTACCCTTAATTTGAGAAAACATTTCAAAATACCTATGGATATTATTCATAGTCTTTACGTACGTAGCAAAGGTGTAATGGAGAAAATGCGTGAGATAGTACCAGGGTACGAAAGAAACAGAGGCATTGGCGAAAGTTATGTCTCACTTACATAAAACTTCAATCGTTGTCGACTCTTTCATTGGCTCCAGGTTTTCGGAACGTGTGACCGAGTTCTCAGCGTAACACTTGAACGTTCTACCGTTGTCGTACTCCGAGGCGGTAAAAGCCAGGTAACTTATGGTTTCCGACGTGCCGTCGTTCTGCGAACAAAAAGTATTAAACGAATATTAAATCAGCGTCCACGTTTATGTTATCACGCATTCGTAACGCCGCGACAACATTGAAATTTACGAAATGAAAATAAGATTGAATCATTTGCGATTTTCAAGTATTTTTGCTAATTCGATCTATTGTTAATTTTGAAAGTTTGCTTTCATTTTCATCGTTTTATTTCTAAAGTAGTCTATAAAATTAGAATTTTATTATAATTATTCTAGTGATAATACATATTTAGTTCATTGTAATTTGACAAAAGTGCATAAATTATCGAGTTATGCATTATTTACATTTTTAAGATAAACGAATGCTATCGCTTAAAAACCATTCCTTCTATCCGTTAATTTTATTTTTTACGAAATAATTTTTTTGTTGTTAACATGTTATGCCCTTTGCAATGTCCACTACTTCTGCATTTTTCATTTTGCATAAAATATGGATGACTCTGTCTTATAAATTACTCATGACATTGTTTTAATAAATACCTGAATATTGGTAAAATTTACTCTTGATACTTTATTAAAATAAAAAATACGACTGTCGAAGCTTTTGACTTTACCACTGACTAGTGAGTTACTTTTTTGTTAAAAAAATGTACATACAAATGTTTCAACAGCATTATCTGTAATGTTTAATATTTAAGGTTTCGATCGAAAGAGAAGCATCAGATGGAATCATATTAACATTAGAAGTACCGACGATAAATGTACATCTATTTCTAGCGAAACAGTAAACGTGTTAAACTTTTGAAAATATAAAAATTTATAAATTAACTCATTTCTTGATTTACATGCTGTAATAAAAGTTGTAAGAGATCTAAGAAAATGCATTGTTGTAGAAGTTTAATCATCGTCATGAGAGTATACTAACCAGTCATTTTGATTGTTTTGGTCGTTCTAGTGTTAAAAGGAATTTACTTTGGATAACTGATAATAATTTGTTTCAATATGTTACGAAAAACTGCCATTTCAATTCTGGTTCGTAATTGCTCGTAATAAAATGTGTAATCTCGTAATAAAAAAGTAATACAAGAAAATAACATACAATCGTTTCACAGTTAAATAATTAACGAGCGTGCGTATGTAGGAAATAGTGGTGATTACAGAAACGACTGTATAAATGGTTATTCGATTCTACGTTGACGCAGCACGTTTAACCTAAAACAAGGGACACCATTTCTCTCGAAAAAAATGCATCGCATCGTAGGTTTTTGCGGTCGAAACTGTTATCCAACATCGAACCGATTCGTTTCGGAAAACGAGTGTAACAATTGTCCGCGCGTTTCATATTTCTTCGGAATTCAGTTTCACATCCCGCTGTCGGTGAAGAAACGAAAGCTCTATTTGTTTTCTGGTGAACGCGAAAAACGGACGAACAAACGGTGTAGAGCAAAAAATTACCGGAGTAGCCGTGCACAATCAGAGAACAGAGTTTACGGAGCCATCACTTTAATCACTTTGCGTTTTTAGCGCCGCGTTTTGACTGTTTCACAATCCACTTTCAGCAAGAGAACTGCTTTCTTTGTTACAAGCACATGAGCAGCAATCTCGTTTCGTACAGTGCGTAAGAAATCTTTACTATGAATCCGTATACAAATCCTTACTATGAATTTACTTAATTTTTTTATTAGATATTCATTATCACAATATTTCTTAATGCTGGAATAGTATAGGGTAAAATTAGGTAATATGTCCTCGGTTTACAAAACGCTTTACTACTGTTTTATTGATAACCAACATTTTTGTATGTTTGGTAAAAGTTACGTTTAGGGGATACAACTCTGATGACCTTGAGATATGTCGTTAAGAATACTCTTCTGACTAAACTCCAAGAAGTTTTAGCTATCATCTTTTTTTATTAAAAAGCAATTGGCAAAAAAAATTTGCAACGTATACCAGTTATTCCAACCAGTTACTCTAACAAATTCCGATCAGTATAATGCTTCAGAATTGGTTAGACAGTGCAAGCAACAAAAGTCATTGAGAGTTGGTTAGATACAGTTCAAGAAAACGGTATCATTCTTCTCTTAATAACTTTTTAATAAACATTTGATAACTGAAACTTTCTGAAGGTCACTCAGGAGGGTGACTTTGACACATGTCAGGGTCATCGGTCATGTTACTTCTTAATACTACCAAAGTACGATACAAAACTTTTTTGCTATTAACTTTTTAATAAAAACCGAGCGACGGTTAACACATCTTGGGGGTTACTCAGATAAGTGTCCTCGACAACATATATCAAAGTCAAGGTCATCGGAGCTGCATCCTCTAATCGTAACTTTTACCGTATACTTTTTAAAGAAACGTAATAATAACATTTATACTTGAACAGTGCGCGTAAAAGAATATTTACACGTTTTGTTAACCATGCGTAACTCATGTTATCGCTCTATCTCGGTACGGATGTGTCTCGTTCGTTCGACCAAACAATTGAATGTGATCCAATTGTCAGTGTATCACTGTTTCGGCCAACAATGAAAATAAATACGTGTGTCCTATCCCTATCATTGTGCCAGAGATGGTGGGCCTATGGGGATATCATCAATCGGACCCGCATTCCTTTTATTTGCCATCTTTCCAGCTCTGCATAGCACATGACCAACGGGGAGGATCTATTTGCTCCCTGCTTGGTTAGATCATGCCGTGTTATTAACACTAAAGCCAGATTCACACTAGCGGTCAAAGGTAGGGGAGACCGGGGCAGGTTGTAACACAGGGTAAATTGTAACATAATTAAAATTTTTTGAACGACAAATTTGGCAACGCAGCAGGATACCAGAGCGGTTTAAAAATATTGATATCGTCGGTTTTATTGCAACAATCGATCATCAAGTGTCTGTTTTGTAGCTACAAGTTAGATTTTTATTATTTGGAGCACGGAAGTAAATATTGTCCTAGCGCTTTTATTTCAATTAATCACTATTAGAAACCGTTTGAATTTTTGCTTCTTTGTCGCAAACGAATCATTACACGTTGGTTTATTATAATATGTACGCATTTCAGGTATTTAATGTTTAGTTTCTTGTTTGCTGAGACAAAACCGAAACATTCAAGCTCGGGGTAATTTGTAATAAATTGCTTGGTGCAAAATGTAACATATTACTACTTATTCTGCTCTAAATGGTAATAAAAAAAACTTGTTATTTGCTAAAATATTAATTACTTTTAGGATGAAAACATACAAGAAAAGAACAAGAAGAGGTTCTACTTTTAAAGAAGATATAAAAACTGCACTGACAGAAATATTCCTTGTCTCTGTCAGTGAATAAACGACGACTGTTTAATCCATGTATATCATATGCTTGATAATGATATGCATTTTCATTTATATTTTTTGGAAATGTTTATTTGTATTCATATTTGTGTTTAACTAAATAAAAGAGACGTGTTACAATTCACCCCGGGCTGGGGCACATTCTAACAAAAGTTCAGATTTCTTTACGATGATCATAGATGTCTAAGTATCAAAGATTTTGTCACATATTTACACTCAATGAGTTGACCAAAGATGCGAGCAGTAACTCACGCAAATTATTTCCTGATTGAGGAAAACACTTTTGAGAAAAAATTGTGAAAACTTTGTTACAATCTGCCCCGGTCTCCCCTACCAATGATCAATTTGAATTTAGACTATATCTCTTTCATTAGATTACGTGTGATTGATAAAGACCGCCACCTGATTTAACGTGATCTGAACGTTCCGTGACCGCTAGTGTGAATTCGGCTTAAACCCACCGAATCTTTCAAAAAGGTAATGAATAAGATCGGCAAAACCGGTCATTTGACCGATCGTGGTAGGTTTAGTGTTAAATATAGCGTTAGCGGTGAATACTGACGAACAAAAGTCCTGTTAATTACAACAGTATTATTCTCACCTGACCTTCATCCCTTTTTCTAAAGTTTTCAATTGGTTTCAAGCTCGGTCGGTAAAGCTGCACTACGGTGGCAAAGAGAAAGAAAGAGGATCACATCGCAGTTGCCCAGGCGGATACACTTAATCTCGCGTTCACCGCGGTGTTTACATCAACGAGCGTTTGCGGCATGTAATTACTTGGCTCTATGTAAATTCTGCCCCGTTGCCACGCTCAAAGCCGCGCTCCCGATTCAGTCGTTGCGTCACTCGCGCCATAATCAGGCACTCGATAAACAATGCTAATTATGATCCGTGACGCGCTAAACGCCAATCGATGGAACTACGAATCTATATATTCCTGATAATGCGACTCACAATTCTGGCAGGGGGCCGTTAATGACTCGTTATATCCGAATAGGATGCTAGCAGCCTTTCGCTAATGGAAAACAGAATTTTCGGGTACGTGCAACGGAATTGCCAAATACTGCGTGCCTAAAGCCTCTTAACGTTAGAACTATCAAAGCAATCAAAATGACTGGTTGGTATTTACTTTTATAACGATGATTAAGATGTTATAATAAGGCGTTTTCTCATATCTGTTGCAATATTTATTGCTATACGATAATGAAGAAATTAGTTAATTTGTAGATTTTCCAAAAGTTTGTCGTGTTTATCGATTCGATCGAAACAGATGTACCAGTGTTTATAGGAATCTATACAGGGATCGAATCACGGTTCAAAGTGGTAAAGAGTATTCAAACTTTGTAACAAATACAATAATCGAAGCATTTCTGCAAAGATACTCTGCAAAGCGTCTGTGTGGGATTATTTATTATGTAATATTAGGTGTAAGTACCAATAAATAATCCACCATTCCGTTTGAATAAAATTGTAATGTAATTTGAATTCAGAACATATTTCAGTCCTTTTTTCGTAAAAATGACGAAAGATAATCGAGAATGAAGACGCATATCACTTCAAAAACATATCGTTTTGATTTTCCTTAACTATTAATATCAAATTTTGCAAAATATAGTGGATTATTTATTGCTATCAATATTGGTACATTTTTCTAGTCCTATTTCATTTTTTACATTAGAAAATCTGAAGTTACTTATCGTTGAATAAATAACTGTCTGTGTAAATGTAAAGAACCATCATGTGAGAAAATATATAACAAGCACCGTATTGTTATTGAATTCACAATTATGAAACGGATATGAATTAATTAATTGCAATTCACATGTTGCAAACAGCATATAGAATATTGTCTGTCATGCTTTCACTTCGTGTTTCATCCAGATATTTCGATTCTCATGTTCGAGATGAATGACAAGTGAGAAGCTTTAAGAGTTGTTTTTAAATTACTACTACAAAGGATATAAAAATTCAACATACAATAAGTGTTGTGGAATGAGTTCAAGTTGCCACGTACAATATGAAATTTATGTAACAGCAAAAGTTTGCAATTCACCGTAACTGATCTGGAAATTGTTCTACACGTTCTGATATTTAATTTTAATACAATCAACCGTGGACCATGTAAAATAAATAAATATGCAAGGGTTCATTCGGTGAAATGAAATATCGAGAAGGAAACGATGGCTTAGTAAGTCATTTGCGGTGTTGAGAGCGATATCCGTCACGTGATAATTATGTGCTTTCAAAATTTAAGCCAGAATTACGTGTAATAACGGCCGTCTGAACGGCAATCAAGTCGTCGTTTCTTAAAAAGTGAGGGAGCGCGCGTAAAGTGATCCGATTTCTTATTCAGCCATCTAAGTTGAAGTGACTTTATAGCCTCAGATATTGCCATAATGGATTTATGATAGCGGCGAGCCGTACAGATGCACGGTATACGTGCACGCGTTATTACTGCGTCGCGGGACGGAATGACATATAATGATTTTTCGATGAGAGACGCCTGGAACACCTTATTCATCTGTGAAATCGCTTTTTCATGTGCGTATAAGACAACCTTATTCTGTTCAGTGAAATACGTATGAATAATAGATTACCAATTGTTCCATACTTGACACATACAGTGTGTATCGGAAATCATGGTATAGCCGGTAACGGATGTCTCTTTGCAAAGAATATAAATATGATAATAAATAGAATAACAAGTTTTTTCACTCGATTTAGCAAGCGGACATTTTACGACTATTACTAAATATAATTGTATTATGGTTCTACCCGTTTTTTGAAATAATTTTAGGTGAATTCATAAGTAGCAGCTATTGCGCGCTTGATATAAAGTAAATGATACCACCCGGTTGTCAATATTCCGAATAAGTAGATACAACGAGCAATGGTCAGACAATGTAAATAAATCGTACGGAATAGCACGAAAACTCTGGTTTAAATAAATTACCGGGTTTACCGTTCATTTATTTCAGTCGAATATATTATGGATTAAATATAATTATCATGATATTGCTGTAAATCAAGTCTCGATGCCAAATGACAAAGGTCAGGATGATTTATTGGACATTTAAAGTTTCCTATTTTCTAACAGTTACAAATAATAAAATCGAAAATTATAATTTTTTTCCCAATCATGTTACATATCTAGTAAATACACACTAGTTTAAATATACAGGTTTTTTAAAGGATTGTTTAAAACTTTATCGTTTTACAGCACTCGTTAAATTATATAAAGAGAATTTGTTACACCCAATACCCTTATGAAATAATTTCAAAGATTATTTCATATATTGCTATGTAATGTATTTAGCTGTATATTTGACTATCTAGTTAGAAGGATAAAATTCACAATTTTTTCAGTAGGTATATCAATTCGTTAAGTCACAGAAAATATACTTCGTTTAGTCATCCTATTTCCGCCTAATTGAATTGCTAACCCTTTAAACTCGCTCGAAACTTTGTCTCAACTTAATGCATATTAAAAAAGTCGATAAGAGGATGGATATAATCCAGACTTACTAACTTATGAAAGTTTGTATATGTAAATTTCTAATATTGTCCATGTAAATTTTTTTATATGGTAGTAACTATTATTTCGATCATCACATGAAACGAATGTCTTCGAAACAGTTTGGACATAACGTCAAATCAAATTTATTTAAGGCAATTCAACCAATATTATTTGAATAATTGCTTCTTTGTTCCAAGTATCATGAACTACGAATTCTGTTTATTTAGCGAGCGACGTAGTTTATTGTTCGTAAACTCACTACAGGAGATATCAGGTTGGCCCGTGCAGCGAGCACAGTACTTTGTTAGTTAAAATGTGTGTTAAACAAAACAGCTAACTATGTTAACACAATTTAGTCAACTACGGCCCACACGAAATGGGATGTGGTCTATGTAGTCGTGGTAAATTTTAGTTTCCAAGCGAAAGATCGTTGCGAAAGTACCGCTTGAAAAGGAATTGTACGTAGAAAATAGTAGGAGATCTAATCAGGTTATTAATCGAAGTTCCCAAGTGAAGCTATAATTCGCAAAGAAATACTTGGAAAAAAGCATCAGCTTTACATGGTAACAAAGGTAGAGAAGGAAACGTGAAGATGAATTTAAAAATTTCAAGAAATTCTGATCCAATCACGAATCGAATGCTAGGACGAAATAAACATAAAATTTCTTTTAAAAATTGAAATTAAGTAGAATTATTAAATGAATAAATATATTTAATAAAGTACTAGAAAGAAGATACACGTGACAATTGTGTAAGGAGCGATATACGATATGATGCTGTCACTATATCTAAAGCGGTAACATTATCTGTAAAGAATGCTATATTATTCAGATCCGTCATATCATTCTGTCCTGAAGTCAGTCTGATAATACTGAGACAAGTTATTCATATATTACCAAATTTATTGCGGCGAGACTGTAGAAAGTTCAACAATCTATTTCCATTTCAGGTCAGATGATTGATATTAATTAAAGCTTCAATTCCTTGACCTCGTCATCGTCTGATTTAATACTGACAGTGTTCAATAACAGTTTCAGTACTGTAATCCTGCTTATTATTAACTAACATGAGTTTTATATACAGAAATTATCTTGGGACAAGGAGTATTTATACACATATGTACAGTAACTGTACATAAAATACATAAATAAATAAAATGTCGCCGTTCTAGTGTGAGATTTACAAAATGTGTGAAAATGCCATTAGTAATCAAATACACATGCGAGATTATTTAATTTAAAAAATTATGTCCAAGGATTAGGATGGGTTATACTACTTAAACAGTAAATTACACGGGATAGATCGTCGACCTACTTAATTGTATGAACGAAACAAAATCAAATGAATGAATCCAACTCATGAAACGATCGAAAAGCGCACCTTTCAAGTGAAATACTCCGACGTGTCAGAAGCATTATATTTTACGCGTACTTTGCCTGCATTTTCAACAATTAATAACTCGGAAACGAAGTCGTTATATAGAATATCCCGTATAAGAAACTAAAATAAAAATCACTTGCAGAGTCAATCACATCGTTCATGTTTTTAAATTATTGAACCTTATTTTCAGATGGAAATATTATCGAAAATTAACTCTCACATTAGTAATACTAATGTTAATACATTTGATCTACCCCAGTCGCGATTGTTCATTTTTAATCGAATAGTAACCGAAATTCTATGTGTCTCGGTCCAAAGGGGCTGTTTCTCGCAAGATTACATTCTGTCGGCGGTGATGTCCACGGAGAAACAACGACGGGTCGTTAACAAACTGAATAAACCGTGGGACCTCGATCTTCTGTCTGTTAATTTTGCAAAACCAACACGTAGCTGCGCTATTTCTGAGACGGTACTCACGTTCTCCTGCACTTTCGTCCCGAACATCCCGAATCTGTCGTTGCTCTCGCTCAAGTACTCCGTCCCGTTCTGCCAGGTAACGTTCGCTGCGGGCCTCGCGGCTCGTACCGTGCACTGCAGCAGAATCTTCGTTCCCTGCACGACGTGGCCCACCACCCCGTTTAAATCCATCTTCAGCGGTCGGACTGGAAAAGATGTCACGTCGTTGAAATATTTAAAAGCCCGCCGGAAGATGTTAACCTTGTAGGAAGAATTTAAAACGGTTAACATTGGACGTCACTCGATACGACAGAGGGTGAGTCACTTTATCAGGTCAGAGGTAACATGCAGTTTTGCTACCTTTTACTTTTATGTGACCGTACAATAAGCAACGATAATAGGGAAGACCCGTTCAGAACCGTAAGTTGGTTATGAGGTTCGTAATGGTTATGGAGTATCGTAAGTTGGGGTAAAAGCCAAGGAATAATCAATTTTGATTTTGCAGCTCTGAGAATTGTTAAATTAAGTTGATTTTTATACTTTGGGACAAAGTTACCCCAGCTTACGACACCTGAGTTAAACCGGTACCTAGTACTATTTTTAAAACGGGTTTCAATTTTACCACGTCGTTGCAACCATATATCGTCGTCGTTTGCATCTGTTTATCGACAAACGTTGATCGCTATACACGTGTGCTTACTAGGTTTATGATATTTCTGTGTTCTTGAGTGCTCTGATCTAATTTTAGTTCATTTTAAAGCTCCATAACTACTGACAGTCTTTGGTATGTACTTTTTGACATAAATTCTGCTATTTGTCGTGTATTGAAGTGTAAATAAAGTGTAAATAATCTGAGGGGGTTTTGAAGAATTGGATGAATTCCGTTGCCATAAATGCTAAGAGAGTATATTGGGCACGGCACTCGGTTTTATCCAGGCTATTGTATGGGCTATACAGTTTGGTGAAGAGCTTCTTTTAGCCCTCGGACAACGGTGCCTGGGTTCATTCCAGTTTACAGAAAGTGAAGGAAACGTACCGTTGTTTGTATTAGCATTTTATAAAGGAGTTCTTGAAGAAATACGTCGCGAAACACATCTCTGGACCTCAGAGCCACAGTGTATTAAGTCATACTTTTTAAACTTTAGAGCAGAGCAAATCAAAGCTGCAAAAACCTTGTAACTGTGAAAATATTTGGTAAGAATTCAACGAGAAACAATCGTCATCTTCGATTAAGTCTATCAACTATTGAATGAATTTAAGACAAGTCTCGATATCTAGAAATGGTGAACATTGTAACAAGTTTTCTATGTGATGGATTTTACACTGTTTGACTCGGAACAAGATATGGATATAATATCATTTTTTCACTATTATATTAAAAACTAAACGACTTTGAACTAAATAATACTTAACACCGGAAAGAGCGAAAAGTTTGATGATGGAAATATGTAAAATGTAATATTTTTTTAAAAGTGGACTTAAGACACTCTATCTCTGGGGTCCAGATCTAAAGACGGATGAGTAAGGGTCTATCTGGACCCAACTACCGTCGTTTATTTGAAGATTTTCTTATATAAAAACGTCTTCCTTAATTTATTAATGCCAGAGTTATGACACTTGGAAGAATAAAAATGTACTGTGTGTATTACATAAAGACCATAAAAATTGTATATTACACTGAAGATACTTTCGTTCAGATACTTTCATTACTGTAAGTCCATCTTTGCCAATTGTAACGAGAATCTAGACTTTTACGACTGCACACATTAATATTCAATTAATACAAAATAAGTTAAATGTACATACTAAATAAGAATAAATTACGTAAAAATTTGTAATTCGAAGTGATCTTACATTTTAATACAGATTTCGTCCATTATATACCCTGTTCGATATTGAAGTTTGAAGGGTCGTTTAAAAGCATTCAAAGGATTTTCATATTAAACTTGCAAGAAGTGCACAATAAAAGAAACGATACAATATCCACGATCAGAAGCAGCACTTCAAACGTCGAGAATATGAATATCTCACCTTTTACAACGATGAAATTCTACCTTTCACCATTCCACGTCCTACGAAACTTCTAAATAAAACTACAACCGACCGGAATCGTAATAATTCATCGGATCCTCGAGCAATTAAATATACCTTTAAACCGAACCAATTGACAGAAGAACAGGAAATCGTTCGGTAACACGTTACTCAGGAGAACGTCGATAAATGGGAGACAGTTAAAATTACATAGATCCCTCTGTCCAAACTTCCGGGCGTGTCTGGTAGGTCGTTTAAATTTTCAGAGGACACTACGACCCCAACGAAACCGCATAACGTCTCGTCCACCGAATCCATTTAAATTTCCCTTTAGGAACCGCCGCCGCCGCCGTGCGCAGATACGCGCGGAGTAGGGCAAAACCCTCCGAAGAAAATAAACGATAAGCCCGGCAAGGAAACGCATTATTCAGAAAATCCAATTATCGTGTTACGCGGACTTGACAGTAATGCAACCTTTACCCCTGGCGCTCTTTTTCATCTAACAGGAACGCGAGGCCGCAACTGATTCATGACACGTTCTCTATGCCACCGTGTAGATGCGCGAACGCTTCACGTATACACACAGACACGTACAGAAAGAGACAACGTCGGTCCCAGAATGGTATAGGCGATCTAATGCAATACCGAGACTGAGCCGCTGTCTGCATCTTGCATCTCTTATAAGAATAATATAAAACTGTATAAGCACGAAGGTGAGACAGCTGTATGGAGAGGGGAGGGGAGGGGGGTATTGAGAAGCTGCAGGGGGAGGTTGCATAAAGAGGGATGCTCGTCGATGGGGCGTTGCCGGGAAAATCAGAAAGTCAAGTTGCATCAAGGAATTCGAGGGAATCTTACCATCGCGGCCGGGGGATCAGCGTTCTGTATGCGAGACCGGTGGCGATTTGAGAAATGTTATTCCGAGAGGGAGGGAGAGAGTGGAGAATTACGGTTTCAGAATGCGACATTGAGTGATCGTGAGCTCGTTAAACCGTTTGTTTTTTTTTTTTGTATAGGTACATAAGAATTGCTCGGTTTATCCTGGAAGGTTCTGCACTGAATGTAAAACAAGAATTTTTTGTAAGGCATTGGTGATTTTTATTATGAATTATTTAAAGTAGATTGCTTTTGAAGAGATCGATTAAATATTATTAATTATATTTGATTGTATCGTATGGAATTGCCGTTTCATGGAAAGGCTTGTTTGTGAAGAAATAATTTTTATGTAGAACAGGTAAACAATCGGAATAGGAGTTCAATAATTAAAATCGGTCGCTCAGCACAGTAATGTTACTTCTGATCAGCACAACAAACAATGTAGATGATATTTATTTTGTTGATTACCAATTATTCGAAAATGTACTAAATATTCTTTATTCACTAAGAATATCGAAGTTTACTGTATACCTAAAGAGCGCCACGTTTATGAACAAATTACAAACTATAGATCCTCTCTCGTGGCTCGATCATTTCTATTTACATCTTTCTTGGGTACCAAGATTACGGGATTCAACAGCCACTCCACAAAACTTCCAGTAATCAAAGAAAATTTGGTGGGAATATGCTAGGATCAATGACAATTTGGGGCGGTTTACTCGTTGCGGAACGTCTACGTCACGAAAGTTGCGTGACGCAAGGGGAGCAAAAAGTGCTACGCAGGCAGCTTTCTTCTCATGGAAACACCCTGAGAAACCCATAAATTTACCAGTATGTAGGCTTACGACACGTCGAACGCCGTTGAGAGCGATACGACTGGGACATTTTTCAGACAACGTCCGTTGACAATTTATTTCCAACCGTACCCCAAGTCTCTGGAAGGAAACAAATGCGCACGATTTAAGGACATTCTCAAAATAACGGCATTGTTCCCCTTCGACTGCGTCATAAACCCAAGAACGTGGTCCTAACAGTTACTCTGATACTCCTCTTTCGAGATGACGGGGAGAGTGATAGCCTTTTGAATACTTGAAGTTTCATGATATATGTATAAGATTATGTATCTTTCATTTCGGCTTTGAGAAGCGGAAATAGTCACGAGCAGCCAAATGAAATAAATACGGTAGGCAACGAAGGTGTCTAACACTTTTTCTCGCGAAAAAAATTCTACACAATGCTGATTTGCCAAGTGAAGTAATTCAACCATCGCTTTTTTCATTACTTTTAAGCAGTACAGTTAGAATTGTCTAATGAAAAAACTCTGATGGATGATTTGTAATCAAAATCTCCAATGTCTTTTATGTAAAATTGTTGCTGAAAGTGTTTCTACATTTTTAGTTGACACTGTATATTCGTAAAAATTATTTCTTGTTTTTTTTTATATGGTCTTGAAATACTACTTGTCAATTGTATTCTATAACATGTAAATCTATCTGAATATTAAATTTTAGTTCTCTTTATACATATATGCTCTGATTGCTAAATAAGGTTGTAGAACTGTGATACCCTACTACCCCAAGGAGTTACAGTGATTCCTAGATGAGTGCGAGACGAGCGACGGCGTTATTCCCACCACTGGGGGGACCTGTCTGAAATCAATCAAAACAGAGTAAACAGAAGCTAAGCAGAGGCTCAGCTTCGGGTAAGCAAATTTATGAGGGGCTGAAAGCCTTTCCGCCTTGTCATGAACGTTTCGAAGCGGACCAGAGAACGTCGCATTCATTGAGACATTAATATGTTTATCTATTTACTCCTAGTCACTTATCAATAAACTATGGTTCTTTATACAAATTCAGATTTTTGTAGATTCATTTACCGAACTAAAATTGTTTCAGAAAATTGTTTCCTTCATTTTTCGGTTCAAAGTATGGTAAAATGTACACTAGTTTTCAAAATATATATTATTTTACTGGACTCTGTTTCGCGCACTCATATTCATGATAAATACATCAAATCCGTAATCCACTTACGTAGAATAGTATTACAATAAGATAACGGTGCAATATGATATGAATAGTGTAAACTAATTGACAATAATACTGTCCTGTTTATACAGCTAGATAGAAACACCGCACAGGCCATGTCGATGTGCTCGCACTTACGGTTCACTGAATACTAACTGCCTGATTCTCCCCCTCACCTAGTTCTACACTCCATTTTCACACGCATACCTGCCCACCATATTTTATTGCCCATCTATAAAATCATCAATGACGGGTATCTGCAAGGCCGTCCTCAA